CGGTCTGTAGGTGTCTAGCGTGGCCTGGCTAATTCGAAATCGATAGGCATTCAGGATAAATTCACTTGTATCATTATTCGTTTATATGTGTCGATGCATAGATTTCGGGAGGATGTAATTCAATGTTTTGCGTGGCATTGGCTAGGAAAGTAGTTGTTTTTCTCCCGAAATCTACCATTCTTGTTAATTTTATGAACATTGTGTGGATACGACATTGAGCTTTTTGTATTTATTTTACAGATGAATTGTTTTTCCAAGACCTAGGAAACAGCCCATACATATAGTGTATATAATACATAATTAGCATTGTGCTACAGCTCCGTCTTTCATAATGTATGTATAACGTAGTGTGAATGGTAAATATAAGGAATGTTATATGCTCCCATATTTAGTATTATAGGCATGCTGGATGTACAATAAACTTCCATTTCATGTCTTCCTTTATCTACAGGGTATCCTCAGAGGCGGATTTGGAGGTCTGGAGGCCCTGGGACAACAAAAGAGCGGAGGCCCCCTGGCTCCTAATTGTTTTCAATATAAAATTAACAAATTTCTTGGTCACTGATTTATGGCGAACCAACTGAATTATTTTAACATATACAGGGTGTTTTTCAAGTACGTGTAAAAAATTCAGGAGCATGTTGCTGACGTTCAAATAAGAAGAAAAGTTTGTATAAACATATGTCCGCAAGTTATTCATTCTGAGATACAGAGTGTCAAATTTTGATTGTTATTTTTTGTGAAGGAATTCCAAAATAATCTTGATATTCGGGTGAGATACCAAGTTTCACTCTAATATCACGTTCATTCCTGAATTTACCCACGAAAAAAAACAGGAAAAAGAATCAACCTTTGACATGTTGTATCTCAGAAATGAATAACTTGCGGACATATGTTTAAATGGACTTTTCTTCCCATTTTGACGTCAGCAACATGCTCCTGTAATTTTTACCCGTACTTAGGAAACACCCAGTAGAAATATTGTCAAAAACAAGAATTATGTGAAAGGAGGTTTTGTCGAAGCCTATTTTTTATAATTTTCATTTTTGAAAATCAGCGTTCTCCAGTGCAATTCGATGTTTTCAAAACCAAATACATTCTCCGTGCCATTTCGATGTTCGGGAATGTAATTCTTGAACTTTCATATTCAAGAATGTCGTATTAAATGAAAAACCTCAGTCTCAGTAGGTTGGTTCGTTCCATATTCCTCTCTGAGGCTACGGACAAGTATTGCCCCACATTGGAATACTCTATCAAGATGGGTAGTAAATGGCAACAACTGCTTATCAGGGCCATTTTGACAATTTGATATTTTCAGTTTGGAGTGAACAATTATAATTAAATTATTCTTCAATATTTATGAATAATACAACAATGTTTCTACAAAGTACTAAGGGTAAAACTCGGGGTGAAACAACGAACTTAACTTTTCCATAAAAAATATTGAAGAAAAAGCTGTTCACTAGTGTTTACCCGTCGAAAGTCGTAAGATTTTTTTGTCTCTATTGTGGGGGCCCCTTCTTTGTGGAGGCCCCGGGGCTGTAGCCCCGGATGCCCTCCCCTAAATCCGGCACTGGGTATCCTGAAGTTATATAGAACGATGTCAACACAGATTCTCTATAGGTACAAAATAGTGAATGAAGTTCATATGAACAATGGTCTAGAAATCAGAAATGGCTCACTGTGTTGTATCGGTGGTAACGCTCACTGTCACAAAGGATAGCCCGAGATGATGGTTTCATGTGAATGCTCGATTTGGAAATGATTAGAAGAATTATTTCCTTTCATTTATATACATGATAATTAGGAACACCGTGTTTATAATCATCAGAATGACCTGATGCGATATTTTTGGAATGCTCTTCCACAGGACTGTTCTATATATGGTGATGGGGTTATAGTGTTCGATTTACACGGAAAAAAAGTTTTGTTACACCAACAAAATAATTTTGGTAATTTTTTTGGTGAAATTAAACACAATTTTGCGAAATCAACAAAATATATGTTCATTCCAAATAAGCGACCTATTCAAGGAGACAAAATAATTTGATTGAAATATTTGCTTACTTGAACAAAAGTTTCATTTCATTCAACAACATTTATAGTTGACATAAAACAAATTTTGTTGATCCAACTATCATCTCATTGTTCAATCAATCATATGCATTTTTTCTATTCCACAAAATTGAAATAATTTTGACAAAGATTTAACTAAATACAACATCATATTTTGTTGAGTCAACAATCATTTCATTCTGCAACCAATCACAGGTTTTTTCTATTCGGCAAAATTGAATTGATTATGACAACCCTATTTTTTGTGGATTCAACACATCACTATGCATATACAGGGTGTTTCATTGGGAAAGGTAAATAATTCAACTGTGGATAGGGGTCACTGGGGTGATTTCAAAAAACCCATGGTTGATGGGTCTTCGACTTCTTATAACCGAGATACAGGATGTTTCATCAATTTTGTCCATATCTTCATTGTCTCATAACTTTCCAACCAACCTGTATATATTTTTGAAAATTGGTACCCTTGCTCAATTTATCCTGTGGAATTGATTGAGGCAACAACAAAAGATAAAATCCAGGTCCGGCTTCACTTAAAATTCACAAATTCATTCTGTCAGAAAACAACACCCTATACATTCGAATTTCTCATTTTTTTTGCCATATCTGAAATAAACATGAAAATTTCTATTCAGCGATGTGCTTTTTATTCGTGCACAGACGATTTTAACTATTCATATTATGAGCTCAAAATATTATTTTTGCTCATTTTTGGGTACAAAATTGGAATCAGACGAGATTTATTAATTTTATTACTTCCTATTCAGTATACGTGAGTATAACATTTAGAAGGAGTATTTCATATCGTTCTTCGTTCCAGACTTAGTTGCAGGTCCGTCATCAAAACTATACAGGGCTTTTCACGATAAGCGTTAATTAGATGTTTCTGGCAAACCAGGCAACGGATGAATCTGAAATTTTGATGGTATGTATAATTAACATAATCTACACTACTGAAATATTTGAAACGATCCGGCGTTGCCGCTTCTACTCGAAAGTAGCAGCAACTTCGATTTTTCAAATGGGACACCCTGTATTTCATTACATTCTTGGATTCTTGCTGAACAGCAGAATTCATCGATTCAAAACATTCGAGGTCTAGCGGGACTGATAACTGAGATATAGGATGTGGAAAATCGAGATGTTTCAACTTTAAAAATGTTTTGTGTTGGAACTATTTAGTATATTGCATGGTCAAAACGGATTCAATGTCCCTATCTCAACTTTCCATTCGATATTCAACTGAAACAGATACAGGGTGGTGCAGAAATCTGAATTATGAACCATCCTGTATTTGTTTCGATTAAATGTCAATAGATACAAAGTTGAGATAGGGACATAAAAAAATAATATTTTCGCAAAATCATTCCAAAGTTGAAACATCTCGATTTTTCTCACTCTAAATATCTCAGTTATTAGTCCCACTAGAACCCGAACTTTGTGAATCGATTGAATCAGCTCTTCAGGAAGCATCCAGGGTGTCCCATTTGGAAAATCAAAGTTACTGATGCTACTTTCGAGTAGAAGCGGCAACGCCGGATCGTTTCAAATATTTCAGTAGTGTAGATTATGTTAATAATTATACATACCATCGAAATTTCAGATTTATCCGTTGCCTGGTTTGCCAGAAACATCTAATTAACGCTTATCGTGAAAAGCCCTGTATAGTTTTGATGACGGACCTGCAACTGAAACAAAGAACGATATGAAATACTCCTTCTAAATGTTATACTCACGTTTACTGAATAGGAAGTAATAAAATTAATAAATCTCGTCTGATTCCAATTTTGTACCCCAAAATGAGCAAAAATAATATTTTGAGCACATAATATGAATAGTTAAAATCGTCTGTGCACGAATAAAAAGCACATCGCTGAATGGAAATTTTGATGTTCTTTTCAGATATGGCAAAAAAAATGAGAAATTCGAATGTATAGGGTGTTGTTTTCTGACAGAAAGAATTTGTGAATTTTAAGTGGAGCCGGACCTGGATTTTATCTTTTGTTGTTGCCTCAATCAATTCCACAGGATAGATTGAGCAAGTGTACCAATTTTTAAAAATATATACAGGTTGATTGGAAAGTTATGAGACAATGAAGATATGGACAAAATTGATGAAACATCCTGTATCTCGGTTATAAGAAGTCGAAGACCCATCAACCATGGGTTTTTTGAAATCACCCCAGTGACCCCTATCCACAGTTGAATTATTCACCTTTCCCAATGAAACACCCTGTATATGACACTCTTATTTTCTTCATTCGATTAGATTTTGCTTGATTCAACAGTTCCTTTTTTTTCGTGTACCTTCTTCAATAATGAGTCACCTGGTACATCATACATGAATTGTAATTTTTTTCATTCTTTCCCAATGATGTTTGCGTGCTACCCGAGGTGTTATACCTGTGAAGCTGAATTATAAATGAACCTTCTACATATCAACTTTCAAATCCCTTGATTGAAAATTGAATATTAATTCCTCAAATTGAATCAATCTTCGCCACAACCTCAGCAGTAACAAAATGACACCATTCGATAATGCATGGTTTGTACTTGGTACTTTGAATAGGTATATATTACAATTTGGTCTTATTCTACCAATCAAATTCGATGGCACAAAAACATGGACTGAACAAAAGTACAAGAGAATAGTGAGCTTAGTCCTATTCGTGTTAGTTTTCATGAGTTTGCTGAGTGTTCAAGAACATTACAAAAATAAAAAATTTGTTGTGCTTCTTCCATTGCTTTTATCGACAAGTTCATGTTGTTTGATTGTAGGCGAGAGATATTTCAAATTTAAACAAATCTCTACACTTTTCAAACTGATGTTGGTAGTCAGATATCCTGACGATTTTTCAAAACTCTCAAAAGAAAAGACCTACCTCGGCATTATTTTCAAAACGCATTGGATGATTTTACCCAAAATGATCACTCTGTTAGTGATCATTTCACTGAAAGTCTGTGTTACTTACACCACAAATATATATGTTACCCTCCAGGTGGTTTTCCAGATCTTTGTAGACCTCATATTGATCACAGAATGTTTTCTGCTGTCCTGTATTCTGGACATCATCAACAAACTTATGAAATTCGTTGAGGCTTCTGTAGCACACCAATTCTTGGAGTTTTACAAGTCTCCACCAGCTGAAATAAAAAAAACTGAAAACGGTGATTTCGTCTTGATTGGGTGGATATCTGCAGCTCTGGCTCAAAGAAAGGAAAGAGCAGACATTGAGCAAATGGTCAGGAACTTATTTGACGTTATACGCCTCAGAGATGCGTTGGATATTTTCAACAAAGTATTCACTCCAAATGTATCTGCTGTCCTTATAATTTGTATTGCTAATCTGGTAGAAAGAAGTTGCGAGTTTGTGGTTTTGGTCAACGAAAGTTCTTTTAATCTTCAACTTTGGTTTGTTGATGTCGCTGCTAATTGTTATCTCTGGGTGAGTAGGTAGTTGTTTTCTAAAATGATTGCTTTATCGGAATAATTATTCAGTTTCTCTATCCCTATGAAATCATTATTCATTGATATCGTTTTCAATATAAGCCTTGATATGAGGCACCATTTCTCGAAAACTACTAAACAGCTAAAATCTGTACAAGGTTCTGCCGATTTCATAGAGATATATAGTATTGCTGTTTCCTGAACCGTGTAAAAGATAAAAAGGTGATCAGATTATAGACAAAAGTTGCGTAATCCAAACCTCTTCAATATGAAGTTTTGCAAACTGAAAAAAAATTCAGTCGTGCCTGGAATAATTTGTATTAAGAACAGAAGACTACTGATTTCGAATCTATTTATATTTTTTTATGTTCTGGCTCCCACGAGAAGGGATATCTTGTAATGTTCAGAGAACATCGTTAGAACCAAGGAAAAGAAGGTAGGAATTGGTGTTCTTCTTGAATTTCTGGAGGTTATATGCCTCGGGGAACACCTCCCTTGGAAATGTGTTCCAGAGCCTTGCTGTTCGTTGGATGACCGAGTCTTTGTGAAGAGATGTTCTGCAGGTCTCCAAAGTGACCACGAAAGGGTGCGAAGCCTCAACTCGACGGGTTAATCTCGCGGGAACTGCCAAGGGAGGAACAATTGTTGATATTCCAGGAGAGCATCGTCCATGGAAATATCTATAAAATAGAGCCAGATCGCCAACTCTTCTACGGTGTTCCAGAGAAGTGAGTGAGTTTGTGAGCGAGGCATCACCCACGAAACGAATTGCCCTTTTTTGGACAGAATCCAACAGTTTCAGGGTATGTTTGGGTGCTGCACTCCAAATATGGGAACAGTATTCCAGGACAGGTCGGACCTGTGCCTTATAGATCTTGAGCAGCTGACTGGAAGTGAAATAGCTCTTCGCATGAAACAGAAAACCAAGTTTTTGAGATGCAGAATATTCAGTCTGTAATCTTTCCTAGTACCACAAAGTATATGAAGATATATGAAATGCATATCATCGATTGAAATATTCGTCGATACTATAAAAACAACCGTTAATCAGAAATTCCTTGAGTTTAATTTTGAAATGATTTTCTCTTCGGTGTACATTTTTTATTTCGTCAGATTATAGAATTTTGCTGCCTTATAAGATGGACAATATTCATACAGACGAGTTGAATGTTTCTGAAGTAGGATACGTATGAAATTCACAGTTTCGATCATAATTCTGCATTTGTTGCCTGGATAATGAAATACATTTGTAAATATTAATGCAAGGTACACATTCGCAATAAAGTGTTGCCTAAAAGATTCTCTGTAGTCTATTCCATATATTAGCCGAATGACCCTTTTCTGTGAGACGAATATATTTTGCTTAGTTTTGACGAACATCCCCAAATGGCAATATTATAAGAAATATGGGAATATACAACAAACATTTTGAAGTTGAGCATTATCGAAAGTATAGTACCCACTGTTCACTTTCTTATTGACATGATTTATACTCGACTCCCATGTCATGTTACCATCGATAAAAGTACCTAGAAATTTGGTGTTGTTTGATGGTTTAATTATTGCACTCTAACATACTGGGAATCGATATACTCCAATCACATTCTCCGTACAAACAAGACTTGAATATTCATTTGATCACTATACATTTAATTCCATAATTCCAATAATGAAATTCATAACATAACCTGAAATTATACTAGAAATTGGATCAAGGAATGCTCAAGGTACCTCTCCACCTTCCTTAGAATTGACATTTCCTTAAGGCTTCCTTTGAGCTCATACAGTGTATCCATTTAGTGCGTAATTCTTCGATATCTCGAAAGCCATAACCAATAGAGAAAAACTTTGGGGTGAAAACTTTTTCAGTTACTGAAGTTCCTCATTCCAAAAATATTTCCAACATTCCAACACATATAAAAGCAGGGCAACTGGAAGAAGAGTTTTTTTTAAATAGAACACCCAGTATTGTTTAATCGGAATGAATTCCGTCGAGGTTCACCTCCACATCGCTGCAAAAAAAATTGAAATCGGTTACGGCGTTGCCAAGTTATAATGGATAAATCTATTTTTACCATTATTGAAGAGTCATGTTGAATTGGGCATGGTATATTCATTTATTCAAATTTTGAAAATATTTTTGGCATGCGGCAAAAGCAAGGTCTCACGTAAACCAATCCAGTAATTTTGCGACATGTTCTTCAACAGGGTGCTCAATTTTGCATTTGAAATGTTGCAAGATTCAGATGACATTCATCAGAATTTTTCAAATGGAACACCCTGTATTTCAATTCAAAAATTCATTCCGACATCTTTCGCCTTTTTATCGCTGAATAAAAAATCGAAATCGATTGCGGCGTTGTCAAGTTATGGATAATTTCCTTATTTTTACTACTATTTCGGGGTAATTTGTACTTCATAGTTCTTTCATTTATTTGTATTGCGTTGCTAAGGTATCATCAAATTTGTTCATTGACCATTCATATATTTTTTTACAATAGGAACATTAACAGGCTCTCCAAGTTTGAATTTTTTTCGAATTACACTTATATTTGTGTAATGACCTGTCAAACATCGCCACAATCAAATATATCTTGGATTGATTCGAAGTTTTGCTGAATTCCGTCCCAAAAGCCGCGTATAGTAGAGACATATTGTTTGTATCATTATGTCTACCTCCTTCAAGTTAAATGGAGATTTGGATTGTGGGAATAACGACAATAAAAATGGCCCACATTTCAAAAAATTGTCCTAATTTTCGCAATCCGCATCTTCATTGTTTCTATTGTAGAAGTTTTTTCAAAGACAGGCGTTGCTTTTGGCATGTTTGTTTGTTTCACATATTATTTAAATCATAAGTAACAAGATAACGGAATATTTCAAATTTGGACGATGCACATATCGCAAAAATACCTGAATGATCTATGTAGAACTTCGAATGTTATGTAGGAAGCAATATTCCCACACTCAAATCAAATAAAGGAACCATCATGACGTACAAATTACCCGAAATAGTAGTAAAAATAGGGAAATTACTCATAACTTGAAAACGCCGCAACCGATTTTGATTTTTTCTTCAGCAATGAAAAGGCGAATGATGTCGAAATGAATCTGTGATGAAAAATACAGGGTGTTCCATTTGAAAAATTCTTATGATCGTCGTCTGAATCTTACAATATTCAGAATGTAAATTTCAGCACCCTGTGAAGGATTATCTCGCAAGAAAACTGGCAACGCCGCAACCGAATTCAATTTTTTTTACAGCGATGTAGAGCTGAACCTTAACGGAATAAATTTCGAATGAACAATACTGGGTGTTCCATTTAAAAAATCTCGTCTGCGAGTTGCCCCGCTTTTATAAAACACCCAGTATTGTTGGAAATATTTTCGAAATGAGCAACTTTAGTAACTGAAAAAGTTTTTTCTCCAAAGTTTTTCTCTTGTGAAAATTGATTTCGAGATATCGAAGAATTACGCACTAAATGGACACACTGTATAACGACTATGAATTGGAAACTATCCCTTAAGGATGCCTTGTTCTTGTTAATGATGTGTTCATAATTTTGAATTTTCTAGGGTTGCATATTCAACATTTTCTGGATGTGTGTCAACATCTTGGATAGTATACAGTCATTGGGGAAAATGTGTTTCAAACTGTATATCGATATGCCGTCCAGAGTTTTCTTACTGGAGGAAATTGAGTTCAAGAATATTCTATTCCTCATCTATAAAATTGTTACAAACGAATGCTGGACTGTTTCTTTGTTCAAAACGATACGTATCAATCATGACATTTTTATGAGGATGTTGATTTTGATTTTGATATTATGTTCAGAAGTCGTCGTCATTCATTTAATCAGATAGGTAAGGTTTGGATTCTCATACATAAAAAAAAATTGTTTGAAACTACAAACATTTTGTTAATTCAACAAAATCTGAGTGTCATATATCCACGACAAAATATTTTGTCACTGCAACAAATATTTTTTGTCAGTTTTCAATTCAAAATTCATTTGATGTAACTCATTAATGATTCAAATTAACAGCAGGAATTGGTTGGATAAACAAAGACTCTTTTATTCCTATAATCATTTCATTCAAGCAAGGTGGATAGATATACATTCAAGTGACAAAATTTTCAGTTTTCCAGAGAGTGAATATGTTAAAATAACAATATATATTCTTCCATCAACCAAATTGTATTTAGAATTGACAAAATATTTTGCTGAATAATATTAAAAGAAATCCAATAACTGAATTTCGAAACTAAGAGAAATTAGAGATCAATTTCCTCAGTATAGATTATCTTCTGTAGTCTATGGTATAAGCATCATAAGAAATTCTAGGACAACCTAATATAATTATGTAAATAGATGTTACATGTAGGTGTAGGATGTAGTATGTACACCCCAATCGAGGCGAGCGTAGGAAGGTCAGAAGAAACGCCACCTGGTGGCAAAAATGCAACTAGATAATCATTCAACAAAATATTTGTTTGATATAATGTATTTGTGGGTTCTGTTCAACAAAGTAATTTGTTTGAGATAACTACATATTTCTTGATAGTGATGTGTTGAATCAACAAAATATAATGTCATAATCAATTCAATTTTGTCGAATAGATAAAAACCTTTGATTGGTTGCACAATGAAATGATTGTTGACTCAACAAAATATGATGTTGTATTTAGCTAAATCTTTGTCAAATTTAATTTAATTTTGTCGGATAGACAAAATGCATATGATTGATTGAACAATGAGATAATAGTTGGATCATCAAAATTTGTTTAATGTCAACTATAAATGTTGTTGAATGAAATGAAACATGTGTTCAAGTGAGCAAATATTTCAATCAAATTATTTTGTCTCTTTGAATAGGTTTCTTATTTGGAATGAACATACATTTTGTTGATTTCGCAAAATTGTGTTTGATTTAACAAAAAAAAATGACCAAAATTATTTTGTTGGTGCAACAATACTTTTTTTTCCGTGAAAATTGAATGCTCGTTTACTGCTTTCGGTTTTCTTATTGCTGTTCTGTCGTTCAAAGCTTTAAACTTCGTTTGAATTAATAAATATTTTGTATTTTATTAAAATTCATTTCTTTTTTGCCAGGTTGCTTTTATTTAAAAAAGGGTAGATAGAAACGGATCCTATTGATCCTAGAATGGAGCAGGAAGCAAGAATTCCTGACGAAATCTGACTGCTTATAATGTTCGAAATTTCAGCAAATTCTTTTATTTTGACCGGCAGGTAGAGACAGATTTTCGGACGTGACGCAACAACTTTGTTATTTCAAATGGAACACCTTGTATTTCATTGCATTTTTAGATTCTCTCCGAAGAGCTGATTTCACCAATGCATCACACTTGGGATCTTGCGGCAATGATTACAGAGCTATTGGGTATGTTCAAAATCGATATTTTTCAACTATAGGATTTTTTTGTGTCGAAACTATTCATCATTGGCCAAAGCGACTTATATAACCCTTTCTCAACTGTCGATTCACTATCTACTGACATTTATTTGAAACAAATACAGGGTGGTTCAAGATTCAGAATTCTGATCACCCTGTATCTGTTCCAATTGAATGTCAGTAGATAGTAAATCAAAAGTTTAGATAGGGACATAAAAACCGTTTTGACCAATAATGAATAGTTTCGACACAAAAAAATGGTAAAGTTGAAAAATCTCGATTTTGAACACCCTATATATCACTGAAATCATTCCAGCTAGACCACAAGTGCGATGCATTGATGAAATCAGCTCTTCGGGGAGAATCTGAAAATGCAACGAAATACAAGGTGATCCATTTGAAATAACAAGTTGTTGCTTCTTTTCGTTAGAAGCGGCAACACCACAGGGCTGAAAATATTTTAGAACGATTTCCCTCTCGAAAATGTAGTTGACGTTTTTCAGATATTTTCATATTCCGGTTTTGGCGACCTACAGAGCCTCTGTTTCGTTTTCAAAGGGCCACCCTGTATGTATATCCTGTTTGGTCAGGCGCTTATTGAAGATCAAAGAGACAGATATTCCTGAAAAAGAGAGAGTATTATTCCTGTTTTCGCGCGCATTCAATCGATATCTACCATTTTCCAAACATTTGCAGGACTTCATCATATGATCGGTTTCCCAAAGGGAAAGCAACATTTTCATTTGTTCTGGTGAAAGGGCCATATCATTCTAAAATGTGAGTACATAAACCATGACCTCAAATTATTGTATTCTTGTTATACTTATTAATCGTTGTTGAATTTATTGTGATTTTTCCTCGCTGAAATGACAGGAAAAACGAGCATTGAGAGTTATAACTATATTCTCAGATAAATATTTTCGAATTGAGGAAGTCCTTCAAAAAATAAATTCAATAGTCCATAGTGGTGATTCAATATTGAATGCATGGAAATGTGATATTTGAGTCAGTACAACAACAGTGCGACGCATCAAATTCATTCGTTAGTATTAATTATACTCACAGGGTGTTTCATTTCTAATTGAAAATATCGCAACTATAGAATTCTGAACTAAAAATATGAAGATCAAACCCAAATCACCTAGATAAACGTGTCTCCTGATGCCTGAGTTACAAGGTGCTTTATTTGAAAATTCAAATAACGAGATTGAAAAGGAATATTCTCAGATATATTCATGAACACAAAAAAATGGATATATATATATAAAGAAATACATTGAGAATTCGCATTCTCTATGTGATGAAAATATCAATTCTTTCCCGGTTTATTCAACAGGAAACAACTACTTTCCTGGCTATATGCCACGACGAACATTGAATTATATCTATTGAACACACACGATGAAAATTTTGAAACAAAATCGTATAAACCTTCAATCGCAGATTCGTCATTAGGTTTTCTCAATCCAGAATTCCTTTCCACGTACTGTATGATAAATAACAATTTATCCCACCCAGATGACAAGAGTATGTCAACAGATCATAATTCTCAGATGTCAATTCGTTGTAGTTTTAATTATATTATAAATTGTGTATATCATGAAGAATGGCTGAAAGAATAACTGGACTTCAGGTTATTGATGAGGATTTGATATCCGAAATGAGTTTATTCGAGTGAAGTTATATAACATATTTGTGAGAGATATAATTCCCATATCACTGATACGAATGATTTTTTTTCGTTTTCTTTTTGGAAGTTCCAAGCTCATCAAGATCAGAGTTCATACAAGTATACTTCTCCCATACATTTCAATTTTCATTTCAATAGTGAACATATTGGTGAGTTATATTCTTATCATAATATCATAATGATGTATCATATTATTTTATCCGATTTGACAGATAATATCAATTCTCAATTTCAGAGGATTTTCATTTTTCATGATCTCTTCCTGGATGATCAACAGATATATATAATTCAATGTTCGACGTGGCAAATAGCCAGGAAAGTAGTTGTTTTCTGTCGCGGAGGGCATAGTCGTTATTGGTAGGTATTGAAGGTATCTGCTGATTGTTTATTGTAATTAAGGTTTTTTCTGGTAAGTGCTACGAAAATGAGATAGAAATAAGTGATATCAATTTACTATATTGTTAATCAATATGTATATGTAGGTACTGATTATTGTTAATGAGAATTGAAAAATGCCATACTTTCTTAGAACGCTCGTATCTTCTGTTAAATATAAGATCATGATGTGAATCAAAAACTATTGTATAAAGAAAGAATGACACTTCAATCCAAAACATGATAAAGCCTAGTTCATCCACTCAATTTCACCACAGGGCGTTAAGAACTTAACGTTGAAAGAGCAACTTTGGTTTTTCCCTGTGTAATGATCAAGTCATCAGCTTTCCACGGAAACTACTATCAAGGTTTTATATGGAACACCCTATTCTCCATTATATTTTCAGATTTGCCCTGAAGAACTGATTTCATCAATGTATCACACTTGGGGTCTGGCGGGAATGATTACAGAAATATAGGGTGTTCAAAATCGAGATTTTTCAACTTTAGGATTTTTTTGAGACGAAACTATTCATCATCGGTCAAAACTTCTTCCATGTCCATGTCTTAACTTTTGATTTACTATCTACTGACATTTAATAATTGGAACAGATACAGGGTGATCAGAATTCTGAATCTTGAACCACCCTGTCAATGTTCCAATTAAATGTCAGTAGACAGTAAATCAAAAGTTAAGATGGAAACATAAAAGCTGTTTCGACCAATAATGAATAGGTTCGAGACAAAAAAATCCTAAACTTGAAAAATCTCGATTTTGAACACCCTATATCTCTGTAATCATTCCCGCTAGACCCCAAGTGTGATGCATTGATGAAATCAGATCTTCAGGAAGAATCTATAAAAATACAATGAAATACAGGTTGTTCCATTTGAAAAAATCAAGTAGTACTCTGTAGATCGTTTGTTCCGAGCACCCTGTATTTTCTGATGCAACGGGAAAAAAATTCTGAAAAATCATTTTAGATTATTTTTCAAATTTTTGAATCGGTTCAAAAATAAGTGAGCTAGAGGGGGGGACATTTATGGTGAATCACCCTGTACATCAACATAACTTGATCCGAAAAAATAGTAACACTATATCTGTATCCCAACGTAGATTAGGATTTATTAGTTTCATGTTAATTTATTGATGTTCAATAGATGCCAAGATCAGACACCACCTTTGGATACTCGTACCAACTGCCTTCTGGAGGATGGGCTGCAAAAGTTCGAAACGCCTTATCACAGTTTTCGGATATTTTCAGCGAATTCGATAAGTACATAGCCCCTGCTTATCATCATGACCGTTGCGAAAGGTATTTGACACTCGTAGTTACAAGGAAATGTCATATTTATATTATTTATTATTATCATTCTTGGTGATTAGTTTCGATATTATTGGGATCTTGATTATCAGTATACAGGGTGTCCCATAAATCAAGAGAAGTGAGGTGGTACGCCCAGACAGCACCAGATATTCCATGAATCTCCCTATCATATTCTTTTTGGAATATTGGAATATTCTAGAAATGATCTGAAATATTCCGGAATATCTGTGGAATATTCTCAAAATATGCGAATGGGAATTCCACAGAATAGATATTCATATAATATATCCAAAAGAATATTCTTTGTTGAATGTTCCTGGAATATTCCAATAAACATATTCTGAAATAAGAAAAAGTGACCCTAGTAGGGATCGAACTCGTGACCTCAAGACTATCAGAGCAACGCCTTGACCGCAACGCCTTGACCACTAGGCCAGTAATCGAATTGAATAATGTTGTACATATCAATTTCTTGTGAGAGAGTTGTTCGGAATCGGATCATAAACACTTTTTGTTTCAAAATCCCCTAACATCTAATTGATGTTCGATACTCACATCTCTGAAATAATGATTGGTACTGATGTGTTGAGAAACAGTAATATTCATGGAATATTTCATGAATATACCGCACCGAATATTCAGTTGAGAATATTTCATGAATATACCCCATAGAACACTCAGTTGGGAATATTTCATGAACATACAACAGAGAATATTCAGTTGGGAATATTCCTGGAAAACTCATACCTGAATATATCCGACTATTCACTTTGGAATATTCCTTTTAGATGTCCCAGAGGCATGTATATATTCTACGAATAATCGATGAATATTCGGAATATACTCCTCCTTTTTAGCATATTTAGAGAATATTCTAGGAATATATCTAGGGCTGTCTGGGCGGGGGGTCATTTGTAATCAAACTAACGGTATATGTTGTAATAAAATTGTTGAAGGTTCAAAAATTATTCAATTTTTCTGAAAATGCGACCCATTCAAGAAAAGTTAATAATAAAAGGGCTGTTTTGAATATCCTCATATGTTATACCATTTCGGAATCTGTATTAAATGGATAACTTTTTCATATGATTGGTTATCTTCGTGGGGTAGTTTTTAAATCTGCCAGCGGAATTTAAAAGTTATTTTTGTCTGTCTGTCTGTCCAATAGATGAGCTTTATTGAGAGGGAATCAGATGGCTACCAGACGAAGAAATAAAAAATTTCGTTGTTATTTGATACAGTCGTAGAAAAATTTGAGTATATCTAATTATTGCAGCATGATCCGTAATTTTTATTATTGTGTAGTATGAATAAGAAAACTGTTGCGACTGATATCTGAAAATTATAACCTTAATATGCACTAGCGGGCGGTAAGGTGCACTTTATCGCCCAAATTCGCGGGCGTGAAGTGCACTTTATCGCCCGCTGTTCTCAAGTTCCATATATCTACACATCCATTTGTGGAATACCCAACAACGTCAAATTTAGGTAGCTATATATACTGGGTATACATATTGTTACATCTCAAGGAATGAATCTCTGTTACTGAACAAAGAGTTTTACTCTTACGATAATTGCGATATTCGTACGGTAATTTTTGTTGAAATCTAGTAATAACTTGTGACTCGGGAAATAAACCACTGGTGCATAAAATTTTGTATGCATCACGTGCGTAAAATGCGTTTATAGCCTTCGGCGTGTAATGGCCCTCGGCTGACGCCATCGGGCCATTATTCACGCCGCAGGCCATGAACGCCTACTTTACGCCCTTGATACATAAATAACTATTACGCTTTGATCGTGTTTTTCATGCCTCATGAACTTATAACCTCTGCCAATTGTTTTTTTTTTCATCTCAACAAAGTAGCTATCTGACATTCAAGTACCATCGGCCACACCTGTGTACAATTATTGCTCATAATGTTACAGATCTGTCCAAATGCGACTTTATACCATGCACAAGAGAGAATTCGTCATGGTATTCGTCACGTTCTTCGCTTGTTTTGGTCTTGGAATAATCGTAGGAATTGCAGGTATTTGTTGTGTTAGCTGTTTTCATATGGGAAAATGAAAGATAGGTATCGCTTTTCAGGTCCTCCTATTACTCTAAATACGGAAATAAATGGAGCAAGTCTTCTGCCGAAAAATAATAACACTAACCCCAATATCGTTAGAAAAGACATAGCGACTGGACCTTTTATTATGCGAACACCAAAAATGTCTACGTATTCACAACAACTCTGGGTGATAGCAAAATTATCGACTGAAAATACAGATGGTACGTATTGAAAGTAATTATATAGATACCGTGGTACAGAAGATGTTTCTCTCAGGCCGAGATATATTAATAAGGAAGCAATAGCGAGAATTTTCTTATGCACCGTGGTTTATAACGGTTTTCCACGTAGTGGGAAATATAGTAATGAAAGGTATACTAATCAGAACAAATTTTTGAAAGTTCATAGTGATAGAATTCTCCGATGTATCTACTGTATCATAAACTATACAGAGGTATCTAAATAACACCGAAAAAATTCAAGGGATGTTTCCTTGTGACGACATTCTAGTAAATAAAGTTTATATAAACATGTGTCCTAACTTGCTTCGTTTTTGAGATACAGGATGTTGAAGTAGGAAGTATCAATTGTTTTTATTCATAACCCTCCTGTATGAATTTTCATGGTGCCAAAATTTAGTATGGATGGAGACTGATGTGGTGCAATTTTTCTCGACTGAAAAATGTTTCCTGAAGGTGAGTGAATCAAAAACATCAAGTATAATATGATATTGTGAATGATTTTATGCATTGAATGGCAAATGAAAACATGATTCAACATAGTGGTTCACACTGTGTGTTTCCAAAATTTTTTTAGGAATCAGATTTCAGGACATATTTGTGTACCATCACATTTGTGTGCTCCGGGAGGCATTTAAACATTCCGGTATAGGATTCGGCACGGCTTAAATTCTATTGGCCGATTTTGATTCATCTGACCAATTGAAGGCGGAGTGCCGAAATTCGTACCAGAATGTTGAGCGGTGCTGAAACACAGGTCGGAATGTTGATGAAATGAAAGCTCGAGATAATGTGTAATGAACGCATTTTTCAATAACTTTAAAAATTTTCATTTATATTCATGATGATTATTTGGTATAAAAGTTCAAAATGAATGATTATATGTGATAAAATGAAATAATAAATTCGAAATAACAATCATTAGAACACTTAATGTCTGTTAATGTCCATTTCCATGGGACTTAGCTGGTTTTTTAGTAATCGGTATTTTATACTTCAGATGTGTACAAATGTGTTTTAATAAACCAATAGGAGGAATGAAAAAGAAAATGATTTAGGTACATGAAATGAATGATGGTTCTTCGCTCATGGTAATTTCACAGCTTATATATGTAATATCAACCAGTATACCAGTAATAACAACCAACATCAACTTCAATTTTCTGGGAGATACTCTGATGTACATGGTAAAATTCAGACAAAATAAAAGCATGTCCTATATTACCACTCTGATCTTCACTCGTGTTGAAGAATTGAAGATAGGTCATTGACCTTAAAAAATCGAAGAAAAAAAAACATGCCAATTTCTTGAAATCGGTTGCATTTAGAGTGGATCTCTCTGTACGTTGGTACTTACGAATACATTTCATGAGCAAATAAAAAAATATTTGAAAAACATAAAATTGTTACCTGTACAAGAATCTTTTAATATTTGTAGGGCCTGATTTGAAACGCCATGATATAAACGACTGAGATTCATAATCATTCATCCATTGCACAACTTCTGTTTCATTCTTCATATTGCCCCTATATATACAAATTTTCTGAAATTTTTATTAATCTTTCCATAATTAGTGATTTATGGTATACTTCACTAATTGATTATTGCACTTAACTATAATAACAAGATTGCAGGTTTGTTGTCAGCACGTGGGAACGACGGTATAATCAAGAAATACGCAGGTTAGGTAAATGCGAGGGTAAATGTAAACAAAAACCGCGCAAAATGCAGGGTAACATTCCGACCTGCTTTTCAGCACCTCTCAACATTATGGTACGGATTTCGGCACTTCGCCTTTAATTGGTCAGACAAATCAAAATCCGCCAATAGAATTTAAGCAGGTGCCGAATCCTATACCGGAATGTTTAAATGCCTCCGGGAGCGTACCGCCACGGATCAATGGTCATTATCGATTTAGATTCAAACATTCCAGTTCCTGTCAAAACTGCCCTCCATTCCAAGAATTTTGAATTGCAAAAAGGTCAAGATGAAATTTACGATTTGTTGGATCAAATTGGATCAGATCTGGAAATCGATTTCGATAAAGATGACCAGTGGGAGTTGAATGAACATGAACAGGTAGAAGTGCCGGAGGAATATTTGTTGAGTGGGTGGATGAAAATGCCAATAAACCAACCGTTCTCCTCGCAAATAGAGAAGCTTCTATTTCAACAAATGACAAACGGTATTGTCACAACAAAAGGTTGGAGGGATGTTTGTTGTTAAAAATGAATGAGTATTTTTTCACTTAGTTTTTGTATGGGTACAGATGGTTTTAGCATGCCTATATGTGTGCACTACCAGGAACGCCCCATTTTAAGATCAAACCGAGGCAGTCCAGTTTTAGCATGCTGGACCGTTCGCAAATCCTGGCCAGATGCCCCATATAAAAACACATTTTTATATTCAATACTTAAAATAATGAAAACTGTCTTACACGATATAAATAGATGGTTAATCCACCTATATCGATTCATAAAGGGTAATGCTTGGCTTAATATTTTGCGAGAGGTAATATTCAAATAGGCACTAATAGTTTAGGGGTATCTGGAAGTATGAGATTATATTCAAACATAACAATATTTATTGCAGCATGGGTAGCGATGACAATTATGAATAAACAACAATGAATATAAAGACTTAATAACAACTTACATTATAGAGACCATAACGACGAGCTCTTGTCAAGTCAAGAGTAGCCCCATCAGACCAGACTAACTTCGGAACCCTCACATCCCATATTTATACAGGGTGTTTCGAAATTCGACCGACAACGTTTGACAGGTGATAGCCCTCGTGATTTCATAATCATTGAGATAGGAACATTCGGTCTTCAAGTGTTCAGTTCTCGAGATACAGGGCGTTGAAGTTGAGAAATGAAAATAGTTGTTTCGCAATATCTCAAGAATAATTGAATATAATGCATTCAACTTCGGTATATGGTTTCATCTTTGAATGGGTCATTTTTTGACCTGGAAGCCATTCCGGACATTTTGTCCAGTGGTGCCCTACAGGGGGTTGTGGCATTTTTTCCTTCCATATTTTCTACGCCACTGATTAAATTTCGATTATTTCCAATTCCTCGAATTCATTGTTCAATTTTGTTCAGAAAATGCATCACCTTCAACTGAGCTGAAATAAACAGTTTTCGAGATATTCGACCCAAAATAGAAGATTGCATAGTAATATTTCATCATTTTCAGTAGTAGAAAATTGCAAAAATATTTTTCTGGTGTTGAGTAGATTAGATACTATTCAGATCTCATGCTATAGCTGAACAGAAATAGTTATTCCACGCATAAAGAGAGAACAAAAATGTTCGTAATTTTCTAATACTGAGGAAGATGAAAAACTACTATGCGAACTTCTATTTTGGGTCAAATATCTCGATAACTGTTCATTTTAGCTTAGTTGAAGGTGATGCACTTTTTCAACATAATTGAACAATCAATTCGAGAAATTAGAAATAATTGAAATTTCATCAGTGGCGTAGAAAATATGTGCGGAAAAGTTATCACAACCCTCTGTAGCGCACCTCTGGATAAAATTCTCGGAATGTCTTTCTGGTCAAAAAATTAACCATTGGAAGATCAAACCATATACCGAATTTGAATGCATTATATTCAATTTTTCATGAGATATCGAGAAAAAACTATTTTAATTTCTCAACTTCAACGCCCTATATCTCGAGAACTGAACACTTCAAGACCGTCTGTCCCTATCTCAGTGATTATGAAATCACGAGGGCTATCACCTGTCAAGCGTTGTCGGTCGAATTTCGAAACACCCTGTATACATCATTTTATTAAATATGCACGTTTCTCATGAGAGTTCCTTGGTCAGTTTTTATAATTCAATGTCAACGGATGATTTGATTTACTTTATGTTTATAAAACCCTCATATGGTTCGAAATTACTGATATACCGTATGTTCTACTCGTGACAGTATGATGAAAATGACCACCGGCCTGTCATTGATTCTCCGAAATCACCACGGACTTGCTGACTGGAAAGTTGCGGTAGCCGTTCAAGGACGAGATGTTGAAAATGCAATGTACGTCTATGCCCTAACAACACAGGGATGTCCTAGGTGCGTCCCTTTTATGTCCCGCGGTACAAGGAAATGATTGGGACATCCAGGGGATGTCCCGCCAGTAGTTGTCCAGTGGACATCCCACCCGGTACATCCCTAGGTTATCCCATTCGTGTCCCTGGAATATCTGATATCCATTCTTCACATCAGAGAGTCATTCAATATCATCAAAATATTGAGTCGAATTTTTTCGAAAATGTATTTCTTCCGGAAAATAATTGTGATGAAAATGAAGAATATAGTCTCAAAACTTCTCCAGAAATGACCATTTTTCGCAAACAGAGATCGTAAATGCATAATGCCCCTCATTTTCAAACACCCAAGAATGATAATAATTATACCCGAATCCTAACAGTTTTATTTATCCAGGTTTCTGTAGTTGTCCTGTTTATAAATCTGTTCAATACATGAATCTTCAGAAGGCATATTGGCCAATGGAGTAAGGTGCGTGCCTGATAAGCTGAAGGTCCCGGGTTCAATCCCAACTAGACCTACTTTTTATTTTCTTTTGTCGAAGGGATGTCCCTGGGATATCCTTGGGACGTCCTAGGGATATCCCTTCTTTGTACTCGGTACATCCCAGGGACGTACCAGGAGGGACATCCCTTGGATGTCCTTTTTGTCTGAAAGCGGATGTCCCTGGGACGTCCCTAGTATGTACTTTGTCCCAGAAAAGATATCCCTGGGATGTCCTTATTCGAAATTAGGGACGTCCCTGGGAAGTCCCTAGGATGTACTCGTGTTGTTAGGGTGCCTGTGCTTGAACAATGAAAGTAATTGTTCCGCCTCTTTTCATAACAAACCATTAACAATAAAGTGAAGATTTTTACTAGCTGCATACACGTAACTGATCAATAGAATGAAGAGATTTTGTATTTCGTGTAAAATTTTTTTATTATAAATCGCAAAGCGCTTTCGGCTAAAAAGCCATCATCAGTGCTATACCTGCAAGTAAGTAATTTCATAAATGTTACTTACTTGCAGGTATAGCACTGATGATGGCTTTTTAGCCGAAAGCGCTTTGCGATTCATAATAAAAAAATTTTAAACGAAATACAAAATCTCTTCATTCTATTAACAATGAATGCATACTTCTCCATGATTAGCGTTTTCTTCATTCTGAGTTGACATCCCATTTCACTCCCAAATAACACGATTGTGAGGGTCCTGAAAATAATATTACATCATCCTGAATAAATTCGAAAAAAATTCAGGAAGTTTCTGACGTTACTCTGAGTCACACCTGCTAGAAAAACCGGCCATACTTTCCAAAGTATTCTCGGGAGTGTAAGGGTTAAATGGAGTTATTGAGTAATCTCAATGGAAGTCTTGACAACATACATTAAAATTTGGAGTCATATCGAATTTTTATTGTTTCCTCAAAAACTAGGTTAGATACAAAAACCACACAAAGGATAATGAAGGTGTTATTTCAATAATTCAATGAAATAAAAATATGAAACCCAGAGAAACTGGTAATGTTCAATGACATTCACTATGAATATCGATAAATTTACGAACTGTGACGCTACTGGAAATATTATTTCGAATCTAAATTGCACCAGAAGAAGCTCCATACTAGTATTAACAAAACCACAAGGTTTTATTGAAATTGATGAAAAGGCAATTGAGAAATGAATAGAAAAAAGATTTTTCATGGAAATATTAATACCCTGTATCTCGAAAACGAAGCAATTTAGGACACATGCTTATATGAACTTTATTTCCTGAAATATCACAAGGAATCACACCTTGAATTTTTTCGGTGTTATTTAGATACACCATGTATATGAGATAAATAAATTATCTAGTAGGAAAGTGAATAATTTCTCTACAAATCCCGAGCCTCGTCATGGTTCCAATATATTCACCTAAATTTTATGAGCAATATGAAGAATATGGCCGCCAGACGTAACTGAAACTAGCCTCAACATGGTGTTTTCGATTGCAACACTATGGATTGTGACCTTTCATTGGAAAGCTAGTTGAAAGAGGAATTCAGTGTACTGATCAAATTTCAGTTTTTCGTACGCTTGGGGGTTGCATGAATTCAAAAATGTTTAATTTATTCCCAGTATAACAATAATTGCTCAAGAAGTGTACAAGGTACTTGTTGGCAGCATCCTAAGTCGGAAGACTCAAACCAAGTAAGGGGTTTTATAAAGCATATGCAGATTGCCAAATGCATAAGGTTGAAGTCCACTCGTTAGTGAGTGGGGGTGGATGGACATGGGGATGAGGAGCTATCATATAACGTAAGCTAGTTATATGGCGGCACTTGATCCTGGGCATTCAACCTTTCGGGGGGCGTGGTGGGTGGTTGGTTTAGTTCATTGTACCATTATATCACCTGATGAAGCTACTGTGTTACCGAAACATGTTGTGTGAAAATCTTATCGTTTGTGAAGTTTTTATATTAGAAAACTAGCAGTGTTTTGTGGCGGGGTCCCTTCTTGCTGTAACCATGACCTTTTTTCGGTCATATTAGGGTTCGAGGAATTTGGAAAAAAATGGCATAGCACTAGCATTAGTTCGTGCTGAGGAAAATGCTAATAGTGTTTCATTGATAGTGTTATCAATAGCAATATTTCATTATTCCTTCATCCAATGAGGGATCTCTCCGCATTTTGAGCAATTGTCACTTTGCAAATGAATTAAACTTTGAAATTACGTTTCGATTCGATGCAATACGTACCAAAAACTTGAATTTGTTCAGCACGGTGGATTCATTTTTCCAGCAGCATTTCAATGATTGGTCCCGAGCAATAGGGTTGCATTCAAAATAAACATGTTGAGGGTGGTATATCTGCTACCCTTGAAGGTCTATAGTTTTTATATTGCTTGCAAAATGTAAGTGAAAACCTACATTGAAACGTTGATTGAGAATTTTCAGAAAAAATAATCAATTCTCAGATAGTGAGCTTATTCCATTTAAAGTCTCTAGCCTGTAAACATAGCTACAATTATTATGATTTTGCTTTCGTGAAATATACCTATACTTATTCGTTTTTCAGGTGAGATTATCGATAAAATTTTCAAAATATCAGTGGGCATATCAGGCTTGACTGAGGATCACAAACCCATCAAAATATTGGATGTTAAAAATAACAACAGGTAGATATCCAAATCATATACTGGTAAACCCCCTCTTTTCATTAGTTTTAGTTAGGAATATGCATTCAGAGTTGCAATTAGGTTCTGAGCAATTGGTTTTCTGAAAACCGGATTCATATAGCGAGGAGTTGTCACTTATAATCCCCCTAGCAGCAAAATTATCGGAAATTAATTCTACTGCGTGGGAGATTTGGTGAGAAATTTCATAAATTTCATCATTTTTTGATTAACTATCTACTGACATTTAATTCAAACATACAAAGGGTGATCAGAATTCCGAATCTCGTTCCAATTAAATTTCAGTATAGATAGAGGATCAAAAGTTGAGATAGGGACATGTGAGCCGTTTTGATCAACAATGAATAGTTTCGACACAAAAAAATTGTGTGTTGAATACGTGAAGACTGTACCTACTTATTTTTATTGCGAGTCGTTTTTCTTTTAGGACAAGACATTTGAAGTGCGAGAAACAAAGTTGTGATGAGTTCATAGTGATGCATTTGGGTTATTTAGACTACACCCATTATATCATAACAGTCAATTTTCATGGACTAGAAGCCTTCCATTCAAGATACAATATAAACGAATTATTTTTGTATGTGAGTTCTAGGCACAATTTCATCAGATTATTCATTTATTGAAACTTATTTTTCAGTTCAAAACGTACAACCCGGAGTTCACCCAAATAGAAATATGGTTCAGATTTATATTTTTGTTATTCACATTCACAGTTACGGTGAGTATACAGTATGGTGAAAATGATAGAAATACATTTTATTCTTTCTTCTCCCACAAATTGTATGATGCATTGTTATAAAAATCATAAACATCTTCCTAATTCGAATTGTTTCCTTCATTTTAACCATAATTAACATAATATGAACGAAGTAATATTTGAATTAACTGTACTATACCGTTACCACCGATACTACATCGGTGGTAACGACTATACACATTGAGATATAGATCAACTTATGCCTTTCTTATGTGCTGATCTATTTTACACAACACAACAGCTCATACACCTTGCTTACATTAGTCAAAACATAATAGTCTTCATACTGGATGATATGACAATTTGAAAACTTGGCCTGAATACTATACATAGTTAAAACCCCATGCATTTAAGTAAACTAAGGAAGTCTTTACATATCTCATTAGAATAACTCTGTCCCAAATCAACCCTCAAAACGTCGCAATTTTTTATGTTTACTTGATGTGTTAGCGATATGTTGCAAACTGTATCATCTAATCATGAAATATTTGAATAATTCCAGTGCTGGTTTCAACATAGCCTCAGAAAATATCCATCACACGATTGGTCCATAGAGCAAAAGTGGATGTCCCTATTGTTACCACTGATGATGGCTTATGACAGTAAGTTTCATATTCAAATTAAGTATGCAAATATTTTCCACGAATCGAAACTGAACCTCTGTAATAGAAATGGATGTAGAAATGTATGTACAAGTCAAACAATTGAAGATCGCCTGATGTCATGTCATTGTTAAATCGAAGTCCAACTGATGAGGAAACTTCTTAAAACAATTGAAATACCTGATTTGTTCATTATAGTTGTGTATTTATATTAATTAATACATAAGCCAACCCCTAGAACCTCCATGTGTAAGCCTGCACAAGAGTTCATTCATGACCAAGCACCATAGGTGAGGAGATAGGCAACTTCCCTGTGGACAGACCCCATCAACCACCACACTCAGTCTCCCTGAACTACTTCAACCTTTCTACTAGTCAGTGACGACATTACCCAGCTGACTATTGCGAGAGGAGTTCCTCTGGCCTGTATAGTGTCTGTCCTTGCCTTGTCGAAGGCCCCCTCTATGTCGGAGAATACCCCCAACGTTACCTCTTTGAATTCTAAGGTCCTTTAGATCCGTCGCACTACAGCATGGAGGGATAATTCCGTCAGGCCCTGCTGCCTTGAATGGGTTGAACTCATTCACTGCCTAGGCTATGGCGTCATCAGTAACGGCTCTCTCCACCAATTGCAAGTCCTCCTAAGGAACCAGCTGTACTTGCGAAGCTGGCCGATCACCACCAGCGCATCCAGGGATGTACCTTCAATAGATGTCTGAGCAAATCTTAGGAGGATGTTGTCCAAGTGACATCTGCATCTTCAAGGTTGTTGCGGTACCTTCTGCCTCGTTGTTCAGAATAGTGATGAGTCTGGCTGATTCCGTTATGGAGTTAATTTATCCACTATAAGTTCTCCTGCTGTTTCTTTCAATAATTCTTAACTCCTTTTTGAATTCCCTTGTCTCGGCGGCTTTGTTATCATTGCACGCACCTTCATCGCCTGCTTTGATCGCTTTGTTGTGCGCTTTTCTAGTCGCTTTCCTCAGTTCTTTCGAAGCTTGGTTCCATTACTGTACGCGGCGCGTTGGTGCTGCTCTCAAAGGGCATGCTTCTTTAGACGCATTGGTCAATTTGTTGCCAAGTGTTCCATTGTCCTGGTCCTGTTCCCCTGCGGTCATTGAGAAAACTTGTAGGAAGGTGTCCCAATTGGTTCCTTTCAGGCATAGTGGAGCATCATTCACTTCAACATGAATGCTGAACCTTATCATTCGGTAATCTGGCATTGGAACGTCTTCCGATACTCTCGAGTTCGTGATGTTTCCTAGTATACCTTTCGTCGCCAAGGTGACGTCGACTACTTCTTGTCGAATTTAGTTGACGAATGTTGGTTCTGTTTCCCTATTCAGGAATTCTAAATTGGTAGTCGCTAGGTATTCTAGTAGAGGTCACATTCCGCGTACATTCACATTCGTGCTGCCATACATCGTGTTATGCGCGTTTGCATCGCACCCTGATATCAATTGTATACCATTCATCCTACTGTACCCTACTATATTCAATAATTCCTCCGTTGGAGGTGAATACACGCTTCCTACCATTACCATATGTTCAGTTCCTCTCACCTCAATCTCCAAGACGGCGACAGTAGCATCCCTGTTCCGTAGTTGCGGCACACGGACCACTTTGAGGTCGCTGGGTGCCAGGACCGTCCTTAGTACTTCCTTCCTTGCTGCATCACCAGCTAGGAGATGGAGACCACTGCCTCCCAGTCTGATAAATTTTCCCCTATAAACATATGGCTCCTGAATTGATACTATTTTTGTCTAACTTCTAGATCCAGTGTTCCTTATGTCGTTCCTAATCAACTCCTGGCTCCCTGGCATGATCGACGAGTTCGCTCAGGCGACCTTACTGAGCGCTTTGCTGCTCTTCTGGCTCTGTATTCACGACAGTCTGCGCCAGAACGACAGACACCTGGCCACCTCTCATCTGCCCAAGATATACCCATAAGGTTTTTCTGTATATTGATCTGTACATATTGATTCTATTCATTAGACGAATTCCTCGTTTCCTTATAATGTTAGGACAGTGGATATATCTGTAGTTTGCACGCGACCTCCTCGTGTACACTTTGATGTAGATGCTATTACGAGGAAAATGCACTTTGTTCTATAAAAATCGAACCTTCTTCATCGAATCCCGTGTTTTAACTCTATTTTTGCGTAGGTTTTATGGACTATCTCCAGATCCAGACATGTTCGCCCAGGCGACCTTCCTCTGCACCTTGCTGCTGTTCTGGATCTGCATTTACCACGAGCTGCGCCAGAACGACAGGCACCTGTTCACATTCTATCTGCCCAAAATCTTTGCAATGAAATGGAAATTACTTCAGATATCCATTTCCCGATGACGGTTGTCTTACTGAATTTGGGGATTTTCGTCATACTGTTTACGAGCTACATGCAGAAAACTGAAATAAAGTGCGAGAATTCACTCTTTTTGAGCTCTCATAAAATAAGCTCGCCTCCTAGAATGGTACAAACTCACAGTACACTTATTTAGGCCCAAATGAAGGTATCGAAACGAACTCAGGCTTGGTAGAAATTAATTCCTCGAAAAAGTTCATTTGCATCTTATTTGATTGACTTGAAGTTCTTCCAATATGGTCGCTACACACAAAAATTGATGAGCGGATGGACTGTAGCCCCACGTTTTGACAAGAGTCTTCTCGTAGTGAAATTTCTAAGGAGCGAAAATACCCAAAGAGGTGTTCAGTCCACAGAAAATTCCAGGGAAGGAAACATCATGGAGAAGGATTTGACTCTTTTTCTTTATGTTCTGGTTGTTGCCAAGTCCATATTTATATTGCCAACATTTCTCCCTTGTTCGTTTCTGATTTGCCTGGCTGGTATTGGAGCCCTGGAAGAGAAGGCGGTATGGAGGGTACTATCATCCGCGAAGCTGTGTACTGAACATGGAGCTGCTTCCAACAAATCGTTGATATGAAGCAATAGTGTTGGTGCTAGAATTGATCCTTGCGAAACACCAGCATTTATGATAAGAGAGTCAGATGAAACTCCGTCCACCACTACATGGAGAGACCTATTCTAGAGAAAACTAGCTAGCAGAGAATATACCTGGGGAGGCAAGCCATAAGATGAAAGCTTGGCGAGGAGTCCCTGGTGCCAGACTCGATCGAATGCCTTGGAGATATCAAGTGCCAAGGCTAAGGTTTCACCATATTTTTCAATAGATTGTTGCCATATATGTGAGACGTATATGCAAGCAGGTCACCAGTTGATCTCTGATGACGGAAGCCATATTGCCTATCGTTGATAATACCTGAATGTTCCAGGTATTTTATGAGCTCGATGTTGATAGCTTTCTCCATGATCTTTGGGTCATTTGGCCTATCGATATGTACGCTGCTCCAATTAGCATTGCATTTCTGGCAAACTGATGTACATACGCTTACCTCTAGCCCTGCTGTTTGATTATTTTCGTATCTGGAAATTTTTACTACGCGGGGAGACTCTTCACACGTTTTGTCCTTTCCAGATCCAGTGTTTCCTATGTCGTTCCTAGTCAACTCCTGGCTCCCTGGCATGATCGACGCTTTCGCCCAAGCGACCTTCCTTTGCGCCTTGCTGCTCTTCTGGCTCTGTATTTACCATGGTCTGCGCCAGAACGACAGACACCTGGCCACCTTCTATCTGCCGAAAGTGTTCGTAGTGGGTATGCTGTGGTGCCCGGCGATAGTCTTGTCGACTTGGGAGCGGATCAACGAACTGGAGGATCCCACTTATAATCATACGGTCGACACATCGAACTATGAAGTGAGATTGCTTTTGTGTTTTGGTGTTCCTTTACGTAAGTGTAGAAGGGTCAACAAGTTTTTTCTCTCAGAACATTCGGAATTGCCACTTTGAACTAATCACTGTCACTTTGAACTGACAACTATCAAGTAATGACGGCAAAATCTCTTTCCCTGTGTTGCCAGCTGTTTCATTTTATTTTCAAGTACAGGGTGATTGTTTATATTGGTCCTACAGGAACGTTCAAATGGACAAAAGTTGAGCATTTTTTATTGGCTTTCAGAATCTCGTTTTTTGTTTCTTCTTTTATGTTCTGGTTCCCACGAAAAGTGATATCCTGTAATGTTTGGAGAACATCGTGAGAACCAAGGAAAATAAGATGGAAATTGGTGTTCTTCTTGGATTTCTGGAGGTTATATGCCTCGGGGAACACCTTCCTTGGCAATGTGTTCCAGAGTCTCGCTGTTCATTGGATGAACGAGTCTTTGGAAGATGATATTCTGCAGGTCTCCAAAGTGACCACGAAAGGGTGCGAATAAGCCTCAACTTGACGGGTTAATCTCGCGGGGACTGCCAAGAGAGGAACAATTGTTGATATTATATCTATGAAATAGAGTCAGTTCGCCACCTTGTCTACGGTGTTCCAGAGAAGTAAGTGAGTTTGTGAGCGAGGCATCACCCACGAGACGAATTGCCCTTTTTTGGACAGAATCCAACAGTTTCAGGGTATGTTTGGGTGCTGCACTCCAAATATGGGAACAGTATTCCAGGACAGGTCGGATCTGTGCCTTATAGATCATAAGCAGCTGACTGGAAGTGAAATAGCTCCTGGCCCGAAACAGAAAATTCAGTTTTTGGGATGCACTTTTAGCAATTGATCTCACGTGATTTTCCCAAGAAAGGTTATTGCTGATAGTAATACCAAGCATCGGAATAGATGTCTCCAAAGGTATGGTTACTCCTGACTACTACTAGAAAATGCAAAAAAGCATCGTGAATTTAAAATTTTCAAATGAACTGGTATTTTCTAAATGGAACACCCTGCATTTTATTTTTCTGAATGTCAGAGCTCTTTGATCTGATTTCAAATATGAATACCTCATTGAGGTTATATTTCGTGCGTATTTGAAAAATATTAATTCCTTGGTATAGATCTAAGGCATGTGTTGAACGTCAGACGACAATGCAGCGATTTCTGACGTTCTGCAGATTGCAGATGCCTTAGAACTTATATTTTTCGAAAACTGACAAAGATAACCTACATAAAGTATATATCTGAAATCAGAATGAAGAGCTCTAGCGTTCAGGAAAATGAAATACAGAGTGTTCCATTTGAAAAATACAAGTTCATGTAAATTTCGAATACTAGATTCTGAATGCCCATTAAAAATACTTCAGTTTTCCCATGTAACGTTTCTGTAGGACTAATTAAATATAAACAATCACCCTACATATGTTAACAATTACCAAGTGAATCTAAATGTGAACTGTCGAGATGATTTGATATTCACTGAAATGTCATCAATATTGGTTTCACCATCACCATTGTCAATTCCACAAGTTCCATTGTTGCCAATGTTATAGCACATTATAGTAATGGATTGGTTTTGTGTTTCTGTGGTTTGTCAAGCGCTGAAGCCTTCAATACCTTGGTGTATAAATAACTGATTTTGGCCCTTCTATTACGCCTTCCCTCTGTAGACAATTCCGGCGCATGATTTTCTGATACCTATTAACTGAAGATTTTTTTCAGATCGTTAAGGCATTTTTCTACATTTTTGGAGTAGTATATTTGATATACCTTTGTATTTTGATATTGAGAGCTTACACTGAACTCAGATCAATGCCATTTTTCGGTGAGTATATTTTAATTGTGAGTATATTATTATCGTGAAAATATTTGAATGAGTATAAGTATGGTCCAGAGAAAAACAACTACTCCGAAAGCAATTGTTTCTCCAGTACAATATTCCTGACAGAACTTTTTAATTTCCTAAAGTTAGTTAGATTTTTGATCTCGTTATATCCATAGTTCATCTTAAAACTAAGGCTCACAAGTAGCTCTAGATTTGGTTTTACACATATACCTTACTAGCTCTCCTTCGCAACAAACCACTCTTCTACTCTTGTAATATTATCGATAATAGTTTGTAGCCATTTCGATTATGCCGTGCCACCGAATTGTGTCATCTGCAACCTGTATTAACCTTCCCAGAATATTAATCGGAGCTAAATCATTTAGGTAAAGCAAAAAGAGAACTGGGCCCAGCATTGACCCTTGAGGTACTCCACATTCAACTTCTAATTTATTCGACACGACATTATCTATTGATATGTACACTCTCACTTCGTCCAGGCAAATACGACTCAAACCATCACCATTGTATACCTATGTCTCTAAACCCATATCTTTCCAATATTTTTAGCAGAATTTTGTGGTTTACGCTATCGAACTCCTTCGTTAGATCACAAAATACTATAATGCAGCACCTTTCTTATCAGTATGACATGTAGTAAAAGACAACATTGCATCACCTGTACTTTTTCACTCTGGAATCGAAACAGGCCACAATTAATAATTCTATGCTTACTAAACACTCTTTTTATTCCAATAATATATTCTTTTAGTTCCATAATTTCAGTAGGTGTGAAGATACATGATTCAGCAACTGTGATAATATGCAAATATTGCATAGGCTCAATTGTTGGAAGAATATCCCTAGAAATATTTTCCGCAATTGAACAATAATATTTTTTAAAATCATTTCATGTGAGATACGGCATTATTCTTTGGTTTTCCAGGTCTGAGGTTGAAATTTTTGACTCTCCTCATGTTGGTCGTCCTCGTTATAAGTTGTATCATAACAGTTCTGAGATTTGGAGTTGGCGTTCTGGAAGACAATTTCGTGGCACAGCTGTCGACCCACTACAGCAACTCGTCCCAATTCATGTCGTTTTATGGCTTGCTGAACTTCTACATGTACGCAATGGCGTACGTGTATTCTCCAGGCAACAAGAATGCTCATGGTATGTCATACCCTTGAAAATTTCATAATAGTACATTATACATCAAGGGACAGAAAGGCCAGATTTTGTCCGAAGTGCGTTTTGTAGTTCGTGGTCGAAGCCCGAGAGATACAAAGCACCTAGGGATAAATACCATTCTGTCCTGAGGTGTATATACTATTTTTTACGCTGGCGAAAACACAAAAATTAAGAAAGAATGAAAATTTGGTCAAAGTGTTTTATCATAATAATTAGTAGTAGTATAGTTTGTGGAATTCGTATCTTGACAACATGCATCTTGTGACAACCCATGGTGACAGCAAATATCAAACTGAACTTCATGAAAACAGCTTTGAAAATGGTTATGGAACAAGAAATCGTGGAGAAACCCCAAGAAACTATTGATACTGCTTCTGAATCTGTACGATGCAGCTTATGCTCGCTTCAGAGAGGGGTGTTCCGAAAAGAAAGCGCAGAGCTATGCGGAAAATGTAAAGTTGGTATAAACTCGCTATGGAGAGAATATGTCACATTATCTCCCTAGGGATTAAAACGAGACTTCTGCACCTCTTTTGTCACCAGAGAAACTAACTTCTAATCCCACCGGCGTAAAAATGTATTTTCTACCAATTAAAATGCTACTTTTTGATTACGTTGCTTATAGCTTATAGGTGACTATCGCTAACATTTTGTTCGGTCCTATTAACTTAATGGGATTAATAAGTGATTATTATTCTGTCAAAAATGAAGCACCTTCCCAGACAGCACAGAATATTCTATGAATGTTCTCACAACGTTCACAACATACCTCCTTCAGAATATTCCGAGGAACGTTCATAGAATATGATGAGGATGTTCTGAATGTTCATAGAACGTTTTACGAGAATATCCATAGAACATTCATAAAAAAATCCTAGGAACGTTCTTAGAATATTCCATTATATTCTATGAATGTCATTCAAGAATGATCATAGAATGTATTGTTCGAATATTCGAGGCATTTTCTCCAGGTATGTTCATAGAATTTATTATTTAGAAATACTCTGAGAAAGAGAAGAATTTTTGTTTCCCATAAACATAATATGTCTCAACTTGCTTAGTTTTTCAGACAAAAACGATTTTACATCGATTATTCAAAGTCATGTTCGCTGATTTTGATAAAACTTGTCATGCTCATTGGCGGTAGCAATTGGGTTTAGTGAATTCAAATTCACTGCTATTTTCTCCAATTATATTCTTCCTACCCTACCCGAATTATAACTCGGAATATTGGATGTAAAATTCTGAGATATGAACTTCCGAGAAATCAGTAGGAAATTTTAAATTCCGATTTTTAACTCTGAATTTTGAACTTTTTATTAATTTTCTTTTGGGTGTTCCTTCCAGGGCTTTCTTATATTCTCCTCCTATATCGATCGCTGAAATATTTTCCATGTGCTCCAAAACACCCCTGTAAACTGAGAATATTTCTAGATCATTCTGAGGATATTCTGAAAAATATTATGGGAACGTTCTTGGAACATGAATTCTCATCCCATTTGCATGTTCTTAGAGTATTCTCAGAACGTTCAGTGCACCATGTGAGAACATTCTAAGAATATTCGAAATTTTCTTCTCCACGGAAATATTCTAAGAACGTTCTCAGAATCACTTTGTGCTGTCTGGATTATATCTATTGGCGAAAGTCACTCAGTTTCATTCGAAACAATGGCTATATTCCGAATTCAACTAATCAGTAGTACTGTCATCAAATCCACTTACTCTGCTGAAAATCTGGGTTCCGAAATATAAAATGGAAAATGGTGCTGTAATTCACATTTTTATGCATTATCCCATTTTTTTGGGATTTTCTCTCCTCGTTTCTTCAAAATGAAAATATGAATATTGTTTCAATATACGTGTATTAAGGACAAATCAGATGATTTGCCCCAAAATGTCACTGCGTTTCAAGAATTCTCCTATCAGAGAGCATAAAAGAAAGATTCAGTAGCTTCTCAGTGACAATTTGTATTGGAAAAGGTTTAGAGAAGACAAATAAAGGTATATAGTGAAAATAACAAATTCTAACTTAGCTTTGGACGTTTCGGGAACGAATCTGCTCCCGTTCTCAACATAAAAAATGGATGTATAGCAAATTCGTATTTGTCTTGACACTTCTCAGTTCTCAGAGACAATTGGTGACGTTGGCATAATTGATTGAGTGAAAACATTTAAAAAAAATTAACACCTCGCACGGATTGAACCCCAGTCAACAACGTGGAAGTCAGATACACATACCACTAAGTTCTCGCTTCACTCGTAGTAGTCGTAGTTTCCCTATATAAAGAATAGGGAAATATAATGTGTTGTAGGTGACGTCACTTGACCTCGATGTACGAATGATTTGATGGTCTTGCTAGATACTTGTCATTTTAAAGAATACAGTCAAGTGCTTCGATGTCAACAACCAATTTCAAATGCGGCTAGATGACTATTTACCATTCCAGAACACGTGATTTTGACATGGTTTCTTGAGGGGCACACAAACTATCTGTTAGGTTATCTATGATGAGCATAGCAAATTACGTAATTCTGGAATGACTAATTGAAAAATAGCTGAATCAAGGCCAAAAATAATAGCGCGCCGAACACGAAACATTTTTTTAGCCATTTTTTGGCAAATCTAGCAGTTTTTTTTTCAATTTTTCTTGCAAAAACAAGAAATATGACCATGAAATGCGAATCTGAGATTGAAAAATGATTTATATTCAATACTAAATAGACCAATAGACAATATCTACTCGAGACTCTAGTGGTATCGAAATTGAAGTATGACGTAATGTGTTGCGTCATCGACTTCAACGTCAATTTGTCAAAATGATACAAAGTTTGGAGTACAAAATCCATAGAAATATGCAGACTGGTCTGAATTTGACTTAATTAGATTTAGATCGTGAATATAATGAACTATCTATGGGAATTTCATGAATATGAAAATATTCCCATACACTTGATATTCTAGAAGTTATGACTTGTCTAATCGATTCCTTTTCTTGTTCATTTGCAGAAATCGGCATCACCAAGGATAACCCTGCTTTCTCAATGATCAACGACTCCGACGAAGACGTCATTTATGGATCAGATGCTGAGAGCAGAAGACCACTTAACAGACCAAGGAATGACGATGACAGCGACTGAAACGCCTTTTAGACTCCCAATTGGTAAAAATAAAAATGTGTGTGACAGTTCTTCGTCCTTGGTACATAAAGTAGTTGTTTATGTACCAAGGACGAAAACTGTCTATTATAGTCGAGTCTGCAAATCCACAGCCGAGGCCTTAGCCGAGGCAAGCAATCAAGCGAGGCAATGTACAATTTTTCGCCGAGGTGCATATTAACTTTTTTCGTCGACCTCAAATGGGATCTTTTCTTTATATTGTACTTATATATGTTCCTTCGTCCCTACTCAAAGAGGTCTTTTGGTTTCACCTGTATAAAACTTTCAACCAATATTTCTCAAGATATTCCCTAAATAAGTCATTTCGGAACTATTCTGGTGAAAAATTGTCTTTCACATTCAATTTCTCGAAAACATACCAAATTTAATTCAAGCATCGTTGATCCAACTGAAAAATCACTTATTTCAGGTTATGGGCAGAAGAAGTTGATTGGAAGACCACTTTTTCCGTTGGTGAAGCTATATGGAAATAGGGTGATGAAGTCGTACTTATATCATTATATGCTTATAGATCAGAGTAAGTTACTTCTGAAGTATTATAAGTAACAGAATTCATGGGTTTCCTGATGTTTTTGTCTTGTAATCTGTTGATCTTTTTTACTGTTGATATGTGAAATAAAATGAATGTTGATACATTTGTTTCATTTTTGATGAAGATTTTTATTTGGATGTATTCCCTACGATCATCATATTCTATGGACCTCCAATTGATGTCCAATTTATATCGCAATATCTTTGAACCAATTTTGGACATCTATACTCCACCCTCAATATCTCCCAGAATTATTAATTTACAAAAAATTGACGAAGCAGGTCGATTTTTATATGGAGGGGGACACTTTTTGACGCTAAATAAACAATCCATAGTTCAACCCTCTACTCCCCATAGCAACCCCCTCAATAATTTGAATAGAGAATAAGGGTCGTGTTATACATCATTGCAAAGTTATTTCAATTCTGAAACTAGCAGTGGAAAGTTCTTTGAATTCCAACAAGTCGTTCTCGAGATATTCGAGTTCGAATAGTATGTTTTTTAATTGTGAGTAAATGAATGTAAGTAATTGATTATTGAACAGGGATTCACAAAAGATGTTCAAAATGGCCTTCATTGACTCCTAGACAGTGGTAGAGTCTTTTTGAAAATTCCTCCTGTACCTTATTTGAGAATGTTTCTCTTGATATTGCCTGGCATTCACTTCTCATTCTTCTCTCCTTATCATCGAGGACAGTAGGTTCCGTTTTATAAATTGCCGATTTTAAATAGCCCTATTGGCAAAAATCATTGGGTGCCAAGTCCGACAGACGTGCTGTCCATTCTATTGGTCCTCTACGGACCTATATGATGATGGTAATCGAAATCTATTGGCAGATTTTATTTATTCTCAACAAGATGATGTGTTACCTCATTCCGTATCACAGGTGAGAGAATTGCTACCCCAAAATTTCCCAAACAAATAGATAGGTCGTGAAGAACCATTAAAATGGCCAGCACGCTCGCCGGACATGGCACCCAATGATTATTTCTTCGGGTTCATCCGAAATCCGTTGTTCATACAACGGAATCTACTGATCTGGACGATAAGTTAAGAAGAATTATGGTTGAATGCCAGGCAATAACTAGAGAAATATCTCAAATGTGGGAAAGGAATTTACAAATAGATTCTACCATTGTCTAGAAGCCAATGAAGATACTTTTGAACTTTTGAACATTCGTTGTGGATAACCATTCAATAATTCATTCCGTACATTCAATTGCTCGTAATTGGAAAACATACCATTTGAACGATTTGTTGGAATTCAAAAAATTTTCCAATGCTAGTTTCAGAATTGAATTACCTTCGCAATGATATATAACACAACCCTTATCCCCTATTAAAATTATTGAGGGGGTTGCTCTGGGTAGTAGAGAGTTGAAGTATGGATTATTCATTTTGCGTCAAAAGGTATCCCCCTCCATATGAAAATCGACTTGTTTCGTCATTTTTTTTTGTAAAATAATAAGTCTGGGAGATATCGAGGGTGGATATTCTTGAATGGACCACCCGGTATATAGGAATTCCTATGAATAACCAATTCATGTCAGTATAAACTTTTGGACTATAATTTTGGATATTTTATTCAGATATCCAGGTTTCGATTATATATATTAATGGAAGATAATAATAAGGCAATCAAAATAAATATATAACATTTTATTGAATACTTTTCTTATACAAACAATTCAGAAACCTATTACATTTTTTAACACTGATGAAAGACACGAATTCACTTAATTCCAGAATACATTCAATAAGATCTCGAACTCTCTCAAAACTGGGTGTGTGTATATATATATCACGAAACTGAGATGAAAAAACTATTTTCATTATCTGATTCTTCTTATATTTTGAATTTAAAAGATTAGCCTTTTCAACTTATAAATTTTCTGGTAAAACCTCTGTAGGATAGAATGATTGTCTATATACAGTTCACATAAAAATATACAGAGTAAACCCACTTAAATCTGGAGTACATCCACATTGTCGATTTCCAAAACATATTTCAGCAGAAAGAGCATCAAAATCTCTACGTTACTTCAAATCCGTCAAAAATGACGCCATGATCGATTTCGTGAGTAGGGGCAGACCATAACACAGTTGCCATTTGTTGAAATACGATTGGGAACTTCAGAAATATTAGTTATTTAATAATTCATAAATTCTCAATCAAGTATTGGTAATATTCCTAATTAGCAATGAAAATTCTATTGTATCGAAATGTTCCCCTATGATTTGTGGCTAATTGAATATGATAAATTTGTGTGAATGATAATTATATCAATTCACACTAGAGGACATTTGAATCAGTGAACGTGACAACACGGCGCACGACTTGTGGGCGTGGTCTTGTCAGTTCTCAGTATTCAGCACGATGTTGCGAAATCTCCAACATTCACATGATATTTTCTTATGGAGAATAAGATATATTTGGGCATGGTGATTGCTCTGAAAAGTCAAGAATGAACTATTATGTCATGGGTTCCTCCTATTATGTTTCATTCAACGACTGGACTCTAATACCTGACTTGACAACGTTTGGAAATCGGTTGTGAAACATGGATTTGTTGAGGGTACTCGGGATGTAAGCAGGTCACACTGTATTAAACATTTTTACAAACAATCTGCAACAACATATAATTTAACATTCAATATTTTCAAAAACATTTAATATAGGTACATATTTTGTTTCGTTTTTTGTTACATGTATTACAGTGGAGGGTAGACATACATTTATCACAATACATATATCTATCAGTAAGTATAGTTTTTTAGAATACATGTTCAACTCATTCAGTTGATAGATAGAAATAACAATCTTAGCTAAACGTCGACAAAACATGAACTTTTGATGCTGAGTTGTTGAGCAAATCATCGAAATAGTCATTTAGTTGAATTTTTCCAAAGTGATTAGTAATTGACAATCATGATGAGCCATTTTTATGCTAGTAGAGTACCTCGAACATCTCATTACACGCCCTTTGAATAGTGTGGACACGCTTGTCACCATTCAAAACTGAATTCAAAATGGAATAGGCGTTCGGTAGCAAATTGAAAATATTATGAAAATTATGGGTACTATTTATGTTTGAGTGGCTGAAAAACGAGAAGATATTTCAAGGGTTCATTAAAGCTTCAAATGCCAATATTCATTTCATGGAAATACATTCAATTTTTCCTAGAATTCTTTTTACTTATTGAAGACTATTTCCGTTAGCAAAACCCATTAAAAATGACCTAATTCCATTTTGAATGGCTCATAATACCTATAAAGGGGTTGGTTTTGTTACCACGCGTTATAGCATCAAAGTGGATGCTGTATGTACAGGGTGATCCAACATAAATTCCTTCCCTGTAACTTTTTTCTTCGAAAATTTCAAAGGCCAGTTGTTGAGACTCTTTCCAAAAATTCCTAGAGTGTGATAAGTAAAGAAAAATTATTGAACGAACAAAATAAAAAATGAAAGAGATTATTTGAAGAAATATTTAAGGCGCCTATTATTATTGCCATGAATTTTCAACTGATGAATGAGGGATTACATCATAAAAGTGTTCTAGTCTTTATTATTTTTGAACTCTGGGAATGAAATGACATCTAGATTTCCTTAAATAGTTTTTTCAGAGGTTTCGTTCAGTTTCTCTGGGAATAATTGGGGAAAATGCCACTAAGATTGGAAATTTTCAATTATCTTCATGAACAATGAAGTTGTAAGGAGGGGATCACACTGTATTAATACCTATTTATTAGTTTTCCTGATGAAAACACACAAGCAGATATGGTATAGCTTGATTGTCTTGAAATGTTCGATATCCATCAAAATAGTCTATAGTTTTTTTTATATTTCACATAGATTTTTGAGCAACAGGTATCAATTCACATATTATTATAATAGCAACATTTTATTGACTGAATGAAAGGGCACTACATACTGTTTTATCACTAAACAAACCGATTTTTCACACCTAGAAACGATGTTATCCGCACGCCGTGCGGATAACATCCATATCCGCACTGAGTGCGGAAAAGTTTTACTTTGCGCACGCAAATGAGTGCGGAAAAGTACTACTTTGTGCACGCTCGTAGGAAAAGAATATTCTTCACCAAGTAAGTATAATTTAATATGATGATATTTCTCATGATACCCATTGATTTCATTTGTCAATTTCGGGGTAAGTAATCACGAATCAAATCCGTAGCTAAAATGTTTTCTTTAAATCAATTTCAAAGGGCTGATACTGCCATCACATGACATACTGACAAAATCCTATATGTAATGAGCATAGTGAGCTTATTTGGTTCACGATTAAATACAGGATGAATGAAAGATATAGGTACAACAAGTTTTCGCTTATTTATGTATAACAACATGAAAATATTTTGTTCGTTTTTATAAAGACAACCCGTATTTTTATCTTCTAATAATTATACAGATTTCTACAAAATAATTTCGACGGTACAAAGTGTCATTATTGATATTTATATTGCAAAACACCATGATAGGTGACTGTATTTTCCATATGAAAATGGCAAAATTCTAAGTTGTTCGATTTCGATTTGCACTCAATATTTATTCATTTCACATTCTCGCACCAGAATTTCAAACCTTTTTACCATTATTTATCCCTATCAATAAACATACATGTTTTTCTTGGGATCTACAATGAATATTTGATTTGATCATTGAATATTTGAGATTCTTAAGGTAGTTATATAATCTTATAGTCGATATATTACCCTGCGTCAAATAATATTGTATCATAATAATAATTGTTACATTCATGAGTGATCACAATACATATATATTATACAGGGCGTATCTAAATAACGCCGACAAAATTCAAGGGGTGATGTGATATTCTAGCAAATAAAGTTCATATAAACATGTGCCCTAACTTGCTCCGTTTTTGAGATACAGGTTGTTGAAGTTGGAAGTAAAGCTTTCATGGTGC